CTCTCTCTCTCTCTCTCTCTCTCTCTCTCTCTCACACACACACACACACACACACACACACAAAACACACGAAAACACGGACAGAGACGGCTACTCCAACGATAAGCTGAAGATGCGCCGAAGTTCAATCGAAGCTCAACTCGAATAGGACCGAAGTCAAATCTGTCCTGAAGCACAAATATCGGGAAGCGATCAAGTTGCCCCCTCCTGGGCAACTCCCTTAAGCAATTTGAGGCCGGTTCATTACCATCTTGCACGTAAGTGCTCTGAAGTCCCTCTCTCCATCATCGCAGCTGACAACTTTATGCAAATCATCGATCGGTTTATGTCCCACCCGCCCCTCACTCTCTGTATGTCCTCCTAACCTATGTTCAGCCTTTCCGCAGATCGCCTTCACCCGTCCTTCCGTTGGTATTCAATTTGCAAACCGAACGAACAGATCCTCTGCCACGCACTCGAGCTCACAACCTCGTAACAACGACAGAATGGCGTCTGCACTGATCAGAGTAAGCATGACAGAACGGACACATCCACCCAGGACACTTGTCCACTTAACGGACTATCTCTCTACTGAACAAAGTAAAAACGACCCGTACCGATTGAGAGCCGAAAACAAACGAGATTCAACGCGCGCGGATGTCATGACCGAAACGCCAGTCAAAACCGCTTAAACCGACATCATCAATATTCCCACCAACCGCTCCTCCGTAAGGCGCGTGCGCGCGCGCGCGCACGCAGATCAAACAAATGACCGTATCCCTCTCTACCCGTAGTTACCCCGTCCACGCACCTCAACTGCCAGAACCTCTCTAGGCCAATGCACTGACACAAATCATTCGCTCAGGTCACACCTCACCAAGTCGCACATAGCATGTCGATTGAGGGGATCGGATCAGACTCGGCAAGTGAACAAAGTGACGACCTACGACTTTCTGGCGCTTGTCCGCGGATCGCGTCCTCGGCCGATCAGCGACCAAACACGTTCGCCGTGCACTGGGCGCCCTTCATGACTCCGGAGAAAGGAAAAAGCGCGCGGGTAACTTCGTGGCATCGCCACGTTCCGCACGGGCGGACTTAGATCGCCGCCAGTGCCGCCGCATCTCTAGCAGTTTCGTCAAATTTTGCTTCTTGCACCCTCCCATCCGTGCCACGTCACCGGTTGCCTGACGCCACGTGACCGGCGCCAGCGCCACTTCGAGCTCCAAGTTGCTCTGCCAACGCCCCCCGCCCCCGACAGTGCGTGACACTTCACCTGCCTCCGCTCAGTCACACATGTACAGCCTGCCGCTATGGTAGCCCTTCGCAACAAAGCTGTGCCGAATGCTTGTTTCCGGTTACCGCGACCTTCACAGTTGTGGGGATCAAGAAGAAGTCCTCTCTGTCTAAACCGGGTTACAACAGAATAGCGTTTCACATGTGCACCACTGTCCGTAGCAGAACCACAGCAGAAAGGGGGAAATGGTAGACCCATGGCGGGTTAAGAGTTTCAACTCCTCAGAGGTCACACTACTTAGAACTCACCGTTCTGGGCATCAATAGCCCTAATCTGAGGGTGGTTAGCGCGACCTCGGCCCTGATAACAAAACATCATAGAAATCGCTATTCCCCGCATTCATCATCAGGACGAGGCTGCGACCGTCGGATTTCCATATTCCAACAGCCACTGTTCACCCCTGATCATGGGCCTGGGCCGGTGGCAGCTTGCAGAGCTACAGGGATGTCGGCCCAACGTGGGATGAAAGATGGGAACATACGATGTAGCTCAGTGGTGGTTAGAGCACCGGTTGGAAATGCGCGTTGTGGTATGACGTTGCGGGTTCAAAACTCCGCACCTTAGAATGACGCACGGCTGGACACACTCCCCTGGGCTGACACATGGTATTATTACAGACACTGCCTGCGCACCACCCAGGGGGCCAGTCCATGGGTGTTGTATGCTGGTCTAGACTTCACGTTGGTTGCTTACTGTTGTTGGCTTTGGTCGCTCTGATGATCTCCCCCAGTCTACATATGTCACACATTGGATTCACTTCCTGTGGTAGTGCATATGGTAGAACCCTCCAGTTTCATACTGTAGGTCACAGGTTCGAGATTCACACACACACATAGGGCCTCGCTGCACTGCTCTAGAATCTCGAGAGTGGGTTGTCACTGCACTTACTCTCGATTCTCGAAACCCAATCGAGAGCTGTCAGAAGGCACTCTATAATGCAACTCTCGAAACGTCGAGAGTCCCCCACCTGCAAAAACGGAATTTGCAAGTGTCCTCGGGAGTTGCCCGCCGACAGGCTCGTTTTCCGAGGGTGGACCTCCTGTTCCGGCGGCCAGACTTTGTCCCGTAGCGCAGTCGTGCAGCTCTTTTGTAGAGTAGGACAACGCCCAGGGTTTCGACAGTTCACCTCGTGTAATAGGTTATGAGTAAGTGCAGCGAAGGCAGGTATTTCGAGAGTCTCGCCTCTCTGACAATGCTAGTCAAACTCTCGAAATATTTCGAGAGTCTAGAGTAGTGCAGCAAGGCCCATACACACACATGTTAGACAGTACCCAAGATACTGACTATTGACTTACCGTGACAGCACGGGTGCGCAGCCCGTAGTTCGTTTGTTTATGTGGTTCGGAAAAGGTAAGGTAGTGATTATGCTGTATTATGCTAAAAAAAAAAAAAAAAAAAAAAAAAAAAGGTAGTGATTATGCTGTATGTATGTTTTGTCATGTTTGCTATACACAACTCGAAGAGAGTGTGTGTGTGGGGTCCCGGTTGGTGCTTTATTCACGATGTTCATGGGACGCTGGACCCAGTTTCCAGCAGGTGGCGCTCCCCTTCAATAGACAGGAGAATGTATGTGCGTGTGTATGTCCGTGTGTATGTCCGTGTGTATGTGAGTGTGTGTGTGTG